CCGCACAAACCTGCCAGGACTGATTGCTCTTCCCAAGACAGCTTCCCATGCTATTTGCTGTTTCTGCGCAGCCCTCATGCGAGCAGCTGAAATGACGATCTCTTCTGGAAAAGGACTGCAGGCGGTAGGCTTGGCGAGGACCGGTCCTATAGGCATCATCATGGGCACCTGCATCTGCTGGTCCTGAGCTGCGCGGCACCAGCGACAGGCAATTGAGAGGCAATTGAGAGGCAACAGCTGCCTGTTTTCACCCAAGACACGAACGAGCTCGACAGGCAGCTGGGCAAGCTCATGAATACAGGAGCGCAAGGCTTGAACCAAGCAGGCAGCATGGTCTTGAAAACAAGAGCAGGAGGCGTCGCTTGGCGCCCAGTGCAAGGTCGCTGGAAACATATCAGCTCAAGCAGGCTCGGGGGTACGATCCAGGTGCCAGCTGCTTTGTTGAAGGCGCCTTACCTGAGGTGGGAAACCTGCCATCACTTAAGCCGGAGGCAAACCGAGCACTCAAAACTTGGATTCAACCACATGACTTGCTGCGGCGAACGTCAGCTTGCCAACATGCTTTGCACCTCCCTCCTTTTGTCCGCAGGATTCGGAACTTGATCTTTGAAACGAAAACTAAATTGGGTGCGACTAAAAGTCGTCATCGCAACCCAAAACAAGGGCCAGGATCTAGGCCACGCTGGCGCAGAAGCACTGCAAGATACTGAATCTGGAAGTCACAGGCTCTCAACAAGCGGTAGAACAGCGGAGAGTGGACAGTTTCGGTTCAGGATACGGATATACAGCTGTGAATACACGACAGCGCTGTGGAAACGGGCGCCAGGCAGGCCTCGCAGCTATTTACAAAGTGGCCATAAATTAATGGCGCTGTACATGAAGCGGCACCCCTATGAGATGTGGCTGCAGAATGGATCAACATTAGCTTAACGCTTTTGTGTCGTTTCACGGCACCGCGGTAGGAGAAATCTCCAAACTCCAGTTCTGCAGCTGCTAGCTGATTGCTCGGATTGCATCAGAAGGGGCTGCTGCCGCGTAACTTTCCAGTCAAGCGCTGCGGCCAAGAAGTGAAATAACATAAAATGGGTGTTGTTCTAAATTCAGCCGCCGTGGCTCCCAAAAAATGAACCCTTCCGCTCGGGCTTCGGCCGGCTTCCGCGCACCGCAGTTTTTGCAAGGTTCTTACATGAAACATTTTTGACACATTAAGAAGAACCTTTTGGCTGTGATCCCAACTGGTATTCAGAATGCACGAAATCCTTTGAGGGGGATTTTGGGAAGCTATCGCGATGCGTTTTCAACACTGCTTTTGCTGGCAGGTACTTGGCTACTGGAAAGACGCTGCACAGACAATCAACGGGCATGCGTTTGGGGAAGCCCCAGAAACGCATGCCGTGCATGGTAGCCATCCTTATACTTGGGCTATATTAGGCTAGTGGGCCTATCAGGAGGGATCAGGGTACGCTATTGGTCAGAGATGCAAATAAAGAAACCACATGCATTCTGGGAAGCCCGCAACATGCATACTTGCTTGGGTTTTGGGCCTGTGAAAGGGACCTGGGTTAGAGATTAGAGTTTGATTGAGAACCGCCAAGGAACACTCCGCACACGCGGTGGGAAACCAGGAAACGCATTGGGATATGGTTTGGGTCAGAACCAGAAAGAGGTTGCCAGAACAAGTCTTGGGAAGCCAGGCAAAGCTGACATTGGGCCAGCATGGCACCATCAAAACTCACGACGCTTCCACTCCCGCCGATCTTCCGCGAATCTTCCGCCAGCCCCGTCCCACGGGCCCTGAGATGCTGTGAAACTGGGGGTGATTGAGACAGGGGTCTCAACTGACGAGAACCTGGCACCATGCACTTTGGGAGGCTGGCAAAACGCATCTGGCTTTGCGGGTCCCTCCTTTTGAGGGTTTTGGGGGCTAGGATGTTGGACCAAGGAACTGGCACAATCCATTGTGGCAGGTTGGAAACGTATTTATGGCTTTGTGGGCCCTGTTAGTTTGAGGGCCTTGTGGGATGGATAAAGGACCTGGCATCACGCTTTTTGGGAGGCTGGACATGTTTAGGTTCTAGGACCCGCTGCCTTTGGATAAGCTTACAGCATCCTGTTTTGCAAGCTTCTGGTTTCTCATATCATGAGACCTTGGCGCCTCATTCTTGGTATAATACCAACCGCCTTCCGCTCGGGCTTCCGCCACCTTCCGCCAGCCAGGGTTTTTGCAAGGCTTTTAAATCAATTGTACAAAAAAAACTGCCAAGAGGAAATCCATAGAAGAGGGCTTTTAGAACGACACCCAAATCACTCTCTGGAGCAGATGCTCAGGCAAAGGGGAGAGAACATCTCCGGATGCGCATAGTGCTGGAGGTCATATGATCCAAGTTTTATTCAGGAGCTGTGGTCGCAGTGTTGACTCCCCTTCGGTATCCGGGCCGCTTTGCCGCTCCATCTGTGCAGGAATGTAAAGCTTCTTTCACCTCGGGGCTCTGG